TTCTTTAGGTAATCTGTGACATTATCTTGCAACTGATGGAGGAGAAATATGGTGGAGACTGCAAGGCTTCCTTTGAAAAGGTGACCAATGAAATCTGCACTCGCCTGAACAATGCCTATAAAGAAGCTGGCTGGTAAGGAAGCAACATGCCTGGGCTCCTAAACCCTTCCACCAGCATGAAGACCCGGCACTGAATCACTGACTTTAGGTAATCTGTGACATTATCTTGCAACTGATGGAGGAGAAATATGGTGGAGACTGCAAGGCTTCCTTTGAAAAGGTGACCAATGAAATCTGCACTCGCCTGAACAATGCCTATAAAGAAGCTGGCTGGTAAGGAAGCAACATGCCTGGGCTCCTAAACCCTTCCACCAGCATGAAGACCCGGCACTGAATCACTGACTTTAAACTTCCAATCAGAGTTGAAAGTGAAGAAAAAAAATCAAGAAAAGTCAACCACATGAATATAGGAACATAAACACATATAGGAAAATAAAAACGTATCAAAGGCAACAAAGAAATCTGAATGCACTTTGCATCTAGGAATACCCCAGCTTGATTCTTCCATCAATATGTATGTAAATTAGCAACAAACTTAAAAGCCCATATAATACATTTTAAGGTAGAGACTCCTGCATGGACGACTTCACCTGTTACTAACCTCCCATCTTTCCACCTCTTGAGTCATGGAGCAGTATTCCCTTATCCTATGATCAGCAATATGAAGGGCGTCTTTCTCCAACTGTTCTGCTTGTGAAATAGTGAGTGGAAGGCTCCAGACATGAGAGCTATTAACTATTAAGAAACCATTAGAGAAGTCACCAGTCTCGCTTGTGCAAGGATGGTGAGAATTCCAAAAGTATGGGATGACAGTCATCATCAGGCCAAATGACAAAGCCACCCACCCCTTCACAGTGGTAAATGTATACAAATCTCAAAATACAGGCCTTAGCAGTGGAATTTATCATTCTCTAGTGCAGTTCTCACACTAGAGGGCAGCAGTATCACACATACTAGCCTGTGTATTATGCCAACTGCCTTAAATAATCTACCTGGAAGTGTCTTTACTTAACAGCTGTTTGACCTTGATGTAAATTGCTCCGCACTCATTCCCCTCTTTCTTGTCAGCATTCCTGTTCCACCACGATGCCTCAGCCTCTCTTCAGGAGTAAATGACCCAGTATCTGCTTGATTGTTTTTCCTTGTATTTAAAGGAAGTGGTGAAATCATTAGTTGCTATTCTTAACAGCATGTGTCCTTCTGCTTAAGTGTAACTATAGATATCATCTGATTGTTAATAAATATACTTAAAGCAAGTGAATGTCTCTCCTCACTTGAAAAATCAGAACAGAATATTTAGTAACACAGAGTCCCTGTCAAGGCAGAGAGTAATTACTTGTGGAACCTGGTTATAAATGCACTATTACTAGTAGAAGTGTGGCATTTATATTAACCCATCTAGCATACAATACTCAGGCATTTAACAAATATACAGTGCTTAGATTCCTAAAGAGGTGAAAAGGGAAGCTTCTACCTTCTCCAGGGGCAGAACTGTGGGATAAAAACAAAAATTTAAAACAAAACCATGATGTGACATTTCTCCCACATTCCAGTTTTGTTTACACATCCCTTCATTCACTCAGCAGGAGACTCTAAACACCCAACTTCCAGAAACTAAACTGCTCCTGGAGAATGAGGTTGTCTGTTTCAGTGCCCTATTCTGCCCATTAAATCCATGTATATTCTAAGCAGTCAGACACCTAAAGTGTGTTACCCTCAAGGCAGAAGAGAAGAATGATGAAGAGGTATTGTAAGAGATCAAGGTCATTCCACTTTGCACACCTAGTGTGAATACACTTTGTTAGTTATGCTTCTGATCAAAATGGAATTGAGTGGAATGTTAAATCCTATTGCAGGAAAGACGTGGAGAAATTGAAGAAGGTTCAAACAAAAATGATTAAAGGTCTAGAAAACATGACCTGTCAGTGAAGACTGAAAGAACTGGGCTTGTTTAGTTTAGAGATGATTGAGATGGGATACGATAGCTGTTTTGAAGTACCTAAAAGAGTGTTACGAGGAGGGAGAAAAATTGTTCTCTTTGACCTCTGATGATAGGACAAGAAGCAATGGGCTTAAATTGCAGCAAGGGAGGTTAAGGTTGAACATTAGGAAAAACTTAACTGTCAAGGTGGTGAAACACTGGAATAAATTGCCTAGGGAGGTTGTGGAATCTCCATCACTGGAGATACTTAAGAGCAGGTTAGACAGACCTCTATCAGAGGTGATCTAGACTGTGCCTGGTCCTGCCACGACAGCAGAGGATTGGACTTGGTCACCTCTTAAGGTCTGTTCCAGTTCTAATACAGGCAGTCCCCAGGTTACATGGATCCGACTTACATCGGATCCCTACTTACAAACAGGGTGAGGCAATCCCGCACTAGCTGCTTCCCCCCAGCAGACCAGGGAGACGCAAAGCGGCTTTTCTTAGCAGACACCTCAGCTTGAGAGTAAAGGACTGAGGGAAGTGAGATGTGGGAGAATAAAACTGAGCTCTGGAGAAATTTTGGCTAGAGTTTCCCCTACAATATGTACCAGTTCCGACTTACATACAAATTCAACTTAAGAACAAACCTACAGTCCCTATCTTGTACGTAACCCGGGGACTGCCTGTATTCTATGAAGGAGAGGAAGGGCCTTGTAGTTGAGAAACTACTGATCAGATTCAGTTTATACTCCTGTCTCTCACAATCTTCCTATTAGTCTGGGAGCAAGTGTAATTCCATGAGCAAATTCATGATAGAAGATAAGGGAGGTGTCATTTGATGCATAAACCCCCCCCGCTACAGAATCATAATTTCAATGTCCTTACCCTCTGTGGCGTGGTGGTAGCTGAATCTCTGGAGAAATCTGATCTGTCCCCCCCGACTGCTTGTCACCTGAGATGTCCAGATCTCAGTGTAATCTTGATCTAGGGGAGATTTTGGGAAAGTATGAGTCCTCTGTAGTACCACAATTGATGATTAAACATCATGGAGAACTGCATGTGCGCCAGACAATAGTAAGCTAACGCACATCTTATATGGTCTTCCTAAGGCAGGATCTACTGACAATGTGATTGGTGGTGCCTCATGCTAACAGAGGCCTTTCAGCATAGCAATCATAGATGGTATGACAGCTAAGAACCTGTTAAGTACTCTCAAGATTTGGCTGAACACTTCATTATGAGGCTACAGAGAAAATAATGGGTCTGCAATAAAGTCCACTCCGTGTCTGCATTATATGCAAAGAAATTAAAAATATCAGAAAAGACTCCATATGGTATTGCAACTGTCTACTACAAAATCACTGACTTGGCAAACATCTCCAGTGTCTTAGAGAAGAAGCTATTATCTCATAAGTACACGGAGAAATTAAATGCATACTTCGCAGGAAAAATGCTCCAGCATGTAAAGAATTGCTTAAAGAATTTCATAGTCACATGGCATTATGAAGCTGCTGCCTCACACTGTTCAGTGGTTTCTTTGTAAGCTCTAGAAGACTGACAAATATCTTACATGCCATAAATGCCACAGATTACCAAACTTGAAATTTTTGTGCTAGACCTGTGGTTGTGATAGAACTGGTGGTCCATGGTGACTTTCGGTGGTCCACAGAAACATTGTCCAAAGTGACACGGTGTGAGCAGACTGTTAGGCTGTTTTACGTCGTGTTCACAAGCACGCGGCGCGTCATCCATAGTATCACCTAGGACGCAACCGCGTTGTGCTGCCAGTAACTTCCATCTGAGGCTCTGAGCATAAGTGTAGCTGCTGCCGTCATGCTGAGCGGTTGCTGTGTCGTTTGTCCTGTGCTACACGTGCTGTTTTACAGGTGTGGTGTAGTTTGTTTATATTGGCAACGACAGGAAGAAATGTCAAGCGCAAGTATTCAGAGGACTACATTAAATTCAGCTTCACTTGTCAAGAAAAAGAAGGCGTGGATTTGCTACAATGTGTCATTTGTTTCAAAGTCTTGGGGAATGACTCAATGAAGCCGGCTAAGCTGAAACTCCATCTCAAAAAGTGTCACCCCAACGTGTTGCAGAAGGATGAAGATTATTTTGAGCGGCAGTTATCAGGTCTGAAATGGCAACGCCTCGACTCAACAAGTGCATTCTACAATAAGACAAGCAATGCAGTGCGTGCTTCCTACATTATTGCATACAAAGTTGCACAGGCCAAGAAGCCTCATACCATTGTACAGCAACTTGTACTCCCCTGTGCAAGAGAGATGGTGTGGCTTGTTCTTGGCAAGGAAGCAGCAAGGAAGCTAAATGATATATCTCTCTCTAATGACACAGTATCTAGACGGATAAATGAGATATCACAGAACATCAGTGAACAAGTTGTGGATGAAATAAAGAAGTCTCCATTGTTTGCCATACAATTGGATAAATCGACCGACATCGCATTGTGCTCTCCAGCTATTGTTATTCGCACGATACGTGGTTGAGGGAGACTTCAAAGACCAGTTTCTTTTTTGTAACTCTTGATACCACCACAAAGGCTGAGGATGTGATGGAAATTGTTCATTTCTTTGAAGCACATGGTCTGGGATTGAGTAAATCTTGTGAGTGTCACCACTGATGATGCACCTGCCATCTGGGCTCAAGATAGGGCTTCCAAACGCTGGTGAAACAGCACGGTCCAATGGTAACTGGAGTTCATTGCTTCATTCATAGGGAAGCTTTGGCATAAAAAACATTGCTTGATCAACTGAACGTCGTTTCCAAAGGGTTGGTGAAAGTGGCGAATCACATCAAATCATCGGCTCTCGACACTAGGCTGTTCAAAAGATTTTGCTTGGATATGGGCTCCGACTTTGATGTGTAACTGTTCTACACTTCTGTACAGTGGTTATCAGCAGGGAACACACTCAACAGAGTTTTTCAATTGAGAGAGGAGTTGGATTTATTTCTCCAGGCTCAAAGGAAGAGGAATTCCAAAATGTGCTGAGCTGGGGGTTCAAATTTAGAACTTGCGTATCTTGTCAATATTTTTGGAATCTTGAACAAACTGAATCTTCAGCTGCAAGGGAAAGGTGCAAACCTGTTCTCTCAGCAAAGCATCATCAGGGCTTTTCTTGACAAATTGGAACTCTGGATCGTAAGAGTCAAAGGCAATAATTTGGTTCAATTTCCATATGTGGATGCCATGCTGGGGGGGAAAGGAAGCCATTTGGACGCAAATTCTCGATCATTTACGGAACCTACGAGACTAATTCCATTGATACTTTCCAGAGGTGGACAGGACAAGGGATGGATTATCTTTCATCAGGAATCCATTTACAACAGATGTTAATAGTGTTCCAGAGGATCTGCAGGAGGAATTCTTGGATCTGAAAAATGATTTTGCGGCTCAAGATGAGTACCAGCAGTCTACCATAGAGAAATTTTGGGCCAGCGTAACCGGGAGTTACCCAAATCTGTCAGCACACGCAGTCAGATTTCTTTTGCCATTTGCATCAACTTATAGGTGTGAGAGTGGAGTTTCGTGTTTGTTGCACGTTAAGTCCAAACAGAGGTATCGGCTTGCAGTGGAAAGCGATATTCGTTGTGCATCATCAAGTACCACTCCAAACATTGAAAAGCTTGTCAGTGAGAAGAGAATCCAAAAATCTATTAGTAAGAAATAAATTTCAAACCAAAATGTTCATTGTCTGCTCTTTTTTGTCTCAAAGGTGGTTGTCCACAAAAATTTTTTGATTGGCTTGATGGTCCGTGGACTGAAACGAGTTGAGAACCACTGTGCTAGACATAGCTAGTCTAGTGCTTTTGAGACACACTACCGAAGACTTCCACAGGATTCTGGTTTTGTGCCTGCTGGGTGTCAGCCGACGGTCAGGGCAGTGTGTGCGTGCGTGTTATACACCCGAGACTTCAACTGCTGAGACCGGGATCCCTTGCAGCGGGCAACCTGGAGGAGGTTGACGGGCACCCCAATAAGTTTACAGGGAGAACTTATAACACCTCAGATTTTAGCTGCTAGGATACAGAAATCCCTTTGCAGCGGGCAGCCTGGGGAGTACGAGAGGTGCCCCAACGAATCTGTCCCCTGGAAGCGACATGATCCAAAACGCCCAAGCTCTCCCTATATCTGTTCCTTATGACCGGCTGAAGTTCTTTTAAAATTGTGCTTGGTTCTGTTACAGCAACTGAAGGAGTCAGGTTAAAGCTTAAACAGTTACTATTTTATTGTTACAGGGTAAACTTAGTTGTTAAATGCTACTACTATGTTACAGATAACAGTCACTACGAAGGACAGGACAGAAATTACACTAATAAGTCACTTACAGGTACCATGAAACCCTTTTGGTTCTCTGAGCTCTTATTAAATGCATGCAAAATAGACACCTAGCAGGTATAATTCTTACCCTGCGTTCCAGACTTGGCGTGGCCAGTGTCTCTCTCTCAATCCCTCGGGAAGAAGTAGGGCGAGGTTGGGCGTCCCACAGACCTCAGGAGACAATCAATACCTGCCAGCAGGTATAGATGAGTGGAGCTCAAATGGGGTGGGCTACTAAACCCCTCTTTATACCCCTTAGGTCATGTAGGCTTCTTCCTGGGCTCAAGTGGCCAATTAGGAAAAATGGCTTTGAACGCCAAGTTTCCCACGAAGGGTGCAAAGCATAATTCACACCTGGGAAAATGCAGACAATGGGCACCTCTGGTATGTGATGGGCGAAGATTCCTCTCCTGGGACAGTGCAGGCGTGTCAATTACTGGTCCTAGCCATCAGGGCGACAGGAGGCCCCAGGTCGTCAGCTAGCCCATTTACTGTCTGGTTTCTGTTTATGGTAGAGTCAGGGACAGGCAGCACACCTGCGTTCCCAGGGCATCAAAGGCTGACTGCCTTTCTCTTGCTCTCTGGGGGGGCAGGGAAACAAGATGGGGTTCGTGTCTGGCTACATTGGGGAACAGAATTATTGTATATCTATCAGAGATGTGTTCCTAATCGCTTGGATCATAAGACCTGCCGCACTGGCAGGTTTTCCATGCCCTTTCAAAATGTGACACTAATGGAAGGATGGCTAGAAAGACCAAGTTATCTTACTTGAAGGCATGTGATTCAGCCTCCAAATATTCTCTCCTCATTCAGAAGGTGCTGAGAAAAACCAAGACAATCACTGAGGATATCTGAACATCTCCAGTGCACTTATGACAAGTTTTAACATTTGAAAACTAACATTATGACATATGCTGAACTACAATGCTGGATGTTTTCCTAGATATTATATGCAAATGGAGAAAGAATGTTCAACAACAACAGGTGTGTTTCTACCTACTATCAAGAGGGTAAATTATCAAGCAATAGAGTGGCTCTAGGATGACTGAGCACATCCAAAACTACCTTCCCATACTGGGTATGGATGGGCTTTGGAAGATGACCTGATCAAACCAGTTGTGAGAGAAATATATGATTCTGAAACAAATTTTCCATTATCAAATGCTTATTTGAAAAGATCTGTTATTCACCACCATAAGTGTTTGGCCAGACACCTGCCTTGTTTGGAAGTGAGATAGCTGCATGGATAAGGATCAGGGTGACGTATAGCAGTGGTGCCCTATGGTTATGACATTGATGAATTGAGGAATGTTTTCAATCCTACATTATCAACATTAACTTCTTCAGGATTACCACAATCAATTTTTTTGGGGGGGGGGAGGTAAGCAAGGTATCCCTGTGTTAAAGTTGATTTTTAAACATTTTCACAAATGTATACAGGTTGGACCTCCCTGGTCTGGCAACCTCAGGACCTGAGTCATGCTAGAACCAGGGAGTTTGCCGGACCAGGAGAGGTCAATGCTCTCCCCTGCTGGATCCCCACTGCCAGCTGCTCTCTGGGGCTCCCAAGGCTGGAGCTTCCTGCCCTGCCACTGCCCCACTAAAGCCGGTCCGGCTGACGCGCGCCCCACCTTGCTGCCCACTCCCTCTGCTAGGGTTGCCTGGCCACCCCCAGCCTTGCTGCCTCTGGGGGTTCCCAGCTGGGGCTGCCTGGTTGCCATCAACCCCACTACCTCACAGGGTTCCTTAGCCTCAGGTGGCCCAGACCTACTGTGGGTTTCCTGGCTGGGGCCACTAGGGGATTCCCCTGTTGGTGCCGGGATTCTACTGCTGCCACCTGGCTGCACCACTGGGGTTCCTCAGCCAGAGCTCCCAGGCTACTGCCTGGCCCAGCTGCTATCAGGGGTTTCCTAGTCAGGATTGCCCGGCCATCCCAGCCTCACTGCAGGGAGGTCTCTTGGGTTCTCTGGCTGCTACCAGCCCTGCTGGCAGGGGCTCTTCACCTGCATGACCCCACTGACACCGGAGTTCCCCTGCCCAGCTGCAATTCTGTAGACCTTAAGTTCTTCAGCCTGGCTCCCACTCCTGGGGCTCTTCGATCCAGTAACATCCATGGCCTTGCCAGACCATGGATGTTACTGGACCAGAGTCCAGGATTTGGGAGGTTCAGCCTGTATCTACATAATAGCTATTCATGTTTGTGTTTGTGGGAGAAAGGGCTTTGAATGATTCCCCACTCGATCCATTCCTGGGGAAACTCTAGAGAAGTCATACAACCTCCCTGTATCTCATGTTCCTGAGCAGTAAAATGGATATACTTACCTTACCTTGCAGGGCAAATCCTTTAATGTGTATGAGGTTCTCACATACTACAGTGATGAGCTCCATAGTAAAGCCTATAAATAAATATAAGGAAGAGGTCTGCATTCAATCACCACCTTACCCATCCCCATCAAAACCTTTCACCTAATGTCACATTTCTTTTGATCTCTACTACTGATGGATCGAAGCAGATAGTGTTTTATTACATTAAACAGAAATACTATTGCAAACTAAAATAAATATGAATGAAGTCAATCTCTACAAACCATAAAGTCAAACAGGCTCTCTTTAGCATTGTTCAAAAACAAAAATCAGAAGCTAAAGGACATTCCACTAACATGGAGCGTTACTATAAAAGATGCAATTCAAACTGACTATCTTATTTGAGTGATGACATGTTATTACCAATATTGCAGTTATTTAGCAAGGATTTAAGGACAGGTAGATTTTTGTACTTGAAAGCCAGATGTAGGGTGATTTATTTTTACAATGTACTTGGCAATATATACAAATTCCCTAAAAAGTTCCTGGAGAAGGAACTGTATTTGCTCCAGATTTAAGAATGGTTTCATGGCATTTTAAAAATTGTCCAAACTACTATAATATCTTGGTAAGTTCCTAAAGTCACCGACCTCAAAAAGATACTGTTGCATGTTGGCGACAAAAACAATATTTCTGTACCTTCTGGGCATCTATAAAATTCTTTACATACAGTTTAAAGTGTAAATGTGCCCGGCCCACACTATTTTATACTCAAATACTGCTAGATCTACAGTGGTATACCTGGTTAGTACTGAGCAACTGTGCTGCCCAGTGCAGGATTGAAGTATAACTGAATGGCACAGTAACCCAGTGAAAAAGAAATACATGCACTAACAGTCACAAGGTATGAGGGGGCAAAGATATGCTGTATGTCTATGTTGCAAGGGCTCACATGTGCCCTTACCGGAGGATGCAACGAGCACAATGTGCGTCTTTTTGAACAATGACTGTATATCACTGTGTAATTTAGGTGTGGGAATTCAAACTCAGAGAAATAAATATAATAACTTACATTTCTACACCACCTTGCATTGTATAGGATCCCAAAAGAATCCCTTTTAAGGGACCACTCACACACAAATGACACAGCTGCCTCTGGGGTGGAAATACAGAGAATATTCTCTGTTAGCAAAATAATGTTTATTATTATTAGGAGAAGTAAATAAACTTTTCCAAGTTGAAGCTGCTAAAAATAGGTATTGGTACAGGCAGGACACTGATGGCGATGGTAAAAGCTTTTATCTCTTTATAATCTTGGAGGAGTCATGGTCTGTTTTATGTCTCATCTGAAAGACAGAACAGTAGTAGAGTTGTATATTTAAAGCATTTTCCTTCAAATGAGAAAGTTCTACACTGTGTCTTTTCATACAATTGACCTATTAAAGAACACACACAAATAATGAGTCACATTCACCAAGAGACACCAAGGTGCTCAATCTTAATTTACTGGACAATGCAGTTTACTTTTTAATTTTTATTTTATTTATTTATTTTTACAATTAAGGATGTACCATTTACATCCCACAAGAAAAAGCAGAAAAAGTCCTTATGGAAAAAAAACCCAAATATACTGAACATATACCAATCAAATGGTACAGAGATGTGAGACTGGCTTTGATTTCAAAATTTCAGTAAAAATTAAAAAAAGATGTAATGCAACAGCTGTTCAATTCCCCAGTCTAAATAGGCACTGTAAAAAATGACATTTCAGCACTCTCTGGCACAAATTCCAGTCTAAATGCTCTGACAGTAACCAACTCCTAGGTTCCCATACAATCACTGGGAAACAATCTCAAAGTAAAAGTTTAGTTACCCACCCTCCCCTCTTAAAAAGAGCCTTCAAAGCTGCTGTTTGGACTGGAACAGAATTAGAGATTTTTATAAAGGTCTGAAAGCATCCAACGCAAGTAGGACAATATAATTTGTTCACTATTTAACTTCTTTTGGAAAGGAGAGTAAAACATTGAGATCTGCACCTTGGTACATAAAACTGTCATCCTGGATAAAGATAAATTGTTCAGAAAAGTTTTACAGCTTGGTCGAAGACAAGGACACAACTTTAGGCATCATCAATTGAAGGGGTTCAATTCTGACTTAGTTATAACCACTTTTATATACTGTACATCTACCCTAGTTGGATCAGTTTTGGGAACTGCTCACTGGTGTCCCTTTGAACAACTGTAAACTAAACCATAGTATGCAACTCCATAGGAAGCTAGAGGATCCGATGAACGTACAGCAGTTATATTTCCCCTGCTTCACGTTCCTCTGAGCTCCTCCGGTCTTCTGATCGGCCATTAGCACTTTCATATGAACGTTTCCTGTCTTTATTATCACGGGGTGACCTCTCTCTTGAGCTCCGGTCTTTGTCACGCGACGTTCTGTCATGATCTCTTGACCGTTCTTTGTCTCTGGAAGATCTTTCTTTTGAGGATCTGAAAAGTGCACATTTGAGAACCCAAATCAGTCAGGAATATGCTGCTGCCACAAGAACATGTTTTGTTAAAATTCTGGTTTTATCTTTCACAAACATACCCCAACTTGGGTCAAACCCACTTTATCAGCTGAACTGGAGTAGAAATTACCAAAACCAAGAGATACATATAACAGAAGTACCACCTGTCAATTTTAGGACCTGGATTATTCAGGCTAATTAAGTGGGCTGGACGTGTCCCATGAAATAATTAAGAAATGAGAAGAGTTGTTACATCCTGGCCCACTTATCACCCTGTATGGTAAGTCTGTTATGAATGAATCCAAACACCACATCCCATTGCACTTCTAAATCAACTGGGTCTCTGTAGAATGTAGTCCCTTTTAGCAAGCACTGCTTCTCTCCCCACCGCCGCTGCTTCTGATATAGAGGCAGCAGGGGAGGAGTGCATGTAGCCCTGAAGGCTAACCAATGAGCCATTTAAATGAAGATGTTAACTATCATGGATTTGTGTAAATATGTAACTGCTTGAAGAGCTTAAAGAAGCAGCAGCTTGACGTGTACCAGCTCTGGCCTAACCCCTTTCCCGGCACTGCTGCCTGTGATACCGACAGCTCTGTGAGATCCAGTGGCTCATGGGGAGCTGACTCCCCCTGAACACCAGCTACTGCCTGCCCTGTCATGTTCCTGGATTTTAAGGGGAGCAGCCAGATCAGTGCTGCACCCATGAGGTGGGGGTGTTTGCCCCAAAGTCTGTACAAAGGGGGCCATGTGAAGTGTCAAATGAAAGCTTATGTTCTACTGATTCTGTAAGTGCTCGCATATAATTGTATGATGTCTATGTGGATTTATGAATATGGACTCTGTGCTAATACGGGGAATGTTCTCTGCCTGAGGCAGAGCAATGGGTTCTGAGCGGCCTGTTGCGAAGAGCAATTGTTCAGTCACTGACTATGCTAACTAGCAGGGCACCAAGGACAATGGCTCTCAAGATGCCCAATACACACCTGAGGAATGCGTCTGGAACCTACAAACCAGTCAGTATCTAATGGTCACTGACATGGGACTCAGAGATAGGTCACTTGGCCATGTGACTCACTCCATCTTGGAAGGTACCAGGGATGGATATAGTGCGCCATGAGGAAAACTCCATCTTGTCTTCAATTCTGCTTCTGATCCCAGATGCAGCCTTGCGAGGGACAGAGAGCCGAGAAAAAGCATGGACCCATTCTGACAAAGGATGTACACCAGAGACTTTTAAGATAGCAGTTTGTAACATCTCTGCTGAGAGCCTGCATCAAGAACTTGGTGATTGGTGCATGTAATGTATTTTCTTTACTCACTACCTTTTCTTTCTTTTATTAATAAACCTTTAAATTTTAGATTCTAAAGGATTGGCTCAGCGTGATCTTGTGGGTAAGATCCAAAGTGTAAGTTGACTGGGAGCTGTGGCTGGTCTTTTGGGACCGGGAGAACCCGTTCGGGGTAGGTGAGATTGGGTTCTATAACCCCTCACCTGTGTGTTAGGCCCGGGGCTGATTGTGGCACAGGGAGAGCTTGGTTGTCCGAAGGGTTTTGCTTGTGAGGCTTCCTGCTGGCCAGATTGGCAGCTGAAGCACTCGGTGTGACTGGTTTGTGGCCTATTTAGGAAAGGCCTCCAGTCAGGGGCTGTAAGCAACCCTGATTTTTGAGCAATTCTCCCTGAGTGGATGCCCTCAGCAGTGCCCAGACCTGGCCTGGTCTGTCTCACTTAGCTCATGCAGAAATGTGGCACCGTTTATTCCCATGCCTGTTTATTTTCTATTCACAGACCATCACCAAGGGCTGAGGTCCAGAGGTATGTACTCATTTTAGATAGACCTACAGCTATAGGGTTGGAGGAAGTGCAGGACTGCCAATCTAGGAAGTGCTAGCATTTTTTTACTGCCCTTGCTGCCTCTGATAGAGGTATCAAGGTGTGTGTGTGCGCACATGTAGTTAGGATTAACTGATAAGCCCAAGCTATACGCTAGCATCCCTACCATTTAGAGGATCACACTATCACATCCCTAGTTGGAATTTAGTACCACAGTGCTAGTAGTACAGAACCAAGAAACAAATGACTCAATAGTAAAGATGTCAGATCCTGACTACATCTTAGGCATTTTCTCTCTTCTTGGCAAATATGCTTGACAGTTATTCATATCTGGCTGCTGAAGCTAGATCCATGTTTTCACTTTAATCCACATTTGGCTGCTAGATTCAGACATATGCTTTGTTTCTGGCTATGGATACATACTTGCCAACCATGAATCTGTGCTTAGCTGTAAAATTTTTATTTTTTTTCGTGGCCTGGACCCATGCTTTGCTGCAGCCCCAGATCTGGCTTTTACAGCTCCAAATCCTGGCTTTACTAATCATGCTCCTTCAGAAACTGGAGCCAGTGGCCAGAGCGCCCCTTAGGTCAACCTAGATAGACCAGATCCCCAAGCTGATGCTAGACTTACAAATGGCCAGACTAAGCTGATTGGGCCTGTCAGCCTGTTGACTGATGCTGTGAAATAGCCCAATCTGCTCCTGTCAAAGATATTCCAGGACCAGGCAGACTACTTCCGTTACAAATTCATTCTCACCTCCTTTAGTTCTACCACTTTCCTTACTAAGCAATGCCCTTTTACTTCTCCACATTAATTCAGTCCTACACCCAGAACCCCAGCCACATTTCTGACAACTTTGACTGAATCGTCAAATTTTCCTGCCTCCATCACTTTCCCCTGACAGATCTCTGATTTCTCTCAAGAGAAAATTGACAAGTTACAACATATGACCTTCACCCTCCTTTTACTTTGGTTTCCCTTTCCTACACTTCTCACTATTCCTCCACCAGCAGAAGTTTCTAGTTTGCACTCCTCCTGTAACCTCTCCGCTTGTCTTTCTGATCCCGTCCTATGTCCTTATGTCACTCATGCCTTTCCTTACTTTTTCTCCACAACTTCTGGTTCTCCCCAATACAAGCAAGCATGCTTTAATATCATCTGCCATCTTTAAACACACCACACTGAATTCCACTTGCATCTTCATCTATAACCCCCATCTCCCTTTCATCTCTAAGCTCTTTGAACACACTGACTACCATCTCTGTCTGGAGTGCCTCTTGACCTATTCAGCCCTTTACCTTCTCCCATCTGATTTATATCCCCTCCCTCTCCACTGAAACCACACTAACGTATCTCTTATGTTTTCCTTCTAAAGCTCAGAATCAGTACTCCATTCCCATGCCTGACATGGAAACCCTCTAACACCACTGACCACACTGCATTTCTTAAAACCAGAGTTAGGCTAAGCGGTCTAAGGTGCTGTGTTAAGGCTGCAGTCTCCCATAGCTGTATGGGTTGGAATAAGGATGGCTTATTGGTGTAGGGGCAAGATTCTCACTTAGAGTGCAAGAGATCCCAGGTCCAAATCCAGGACAAACCCTGGCCTGCGTCCTCTGCTATAATTCTGTAAACCCAAAGTACCTATAATTCTGTAGACCCAAAGTACATCCCTTCTGGGGAATGAAATGATAGGTGAAGCCTCTTACCTCAAGTCACTGGTTAAAATACAGCTTAGGGCAACAGGCTCGTCTCAGGCTTGTTATTTGACAAGAAGAAATGGGCTTAAATTGCCGAAAGGGAGGTTTCGGTTGGACAGTAGGAAAATATTCCTAACCTTCATGGTGGTTGAAAACTGGACTAAATTGCCTAGGGAGGCTGTGGAATCTCTATCACTGGAGATATTTAAGAACACGTTAGACAAACCTCTATTAGGGACGATCTAGATGGTGCTTCATCCTGCTGTGAGGGCAGGGTACTGGACTTGACCACCTCTCAAGGTTCTTTCCAGTTCTAGTGTTCTATGAGTTCTCCTCGCCCCCCCAGGCTTCTATAACACTCTCTCCCCGATACGCTCTTCTACACCTTTTATAACTACTTTAACATACGCTTCAGATAACCTTCCTCATGCCCCCACTTTCTGTGAAGATTCCACAAGGCTCTGCCCTTTTTGCCCTCTCTTTTCCCTCTATACCTTCTGTCTAATCTCATTTGCAAACAGATTCAACTACTATCATGATGCCGATGATTCATAGATCTACCTTTCTATTCCAGACCTTTCTCCTTCTATAGTAACTATAAAGCCTGTATGGGACACCAGGTAAACCCCCGGGGACATCAGGTTAAACACAGGGAGATGGGGCACAATTTTTTTCTAAATCCATTTGGGGGATCATAGGATTAAATGGGAGATTGACACGGTGTCTGCTTTGCTTGGTGGCTAGTAGGTCAACCCTGGGGACTGGGGCAGAAATTTTTCCAAGTCCAGCAGGGGCACCAGGTCAAACCATGGAACTGATAGGGCACCATGTTAACCCAGGGATTGGGGAGGGGAGGGGTGGGAGGACACAGGGCAGAAAAAGCTGACTCCTGGTGCACACTGGCTCCTGGGGAACCACTTGCTGCCCCATGCTGCTGCCTCTGATACAGTCGTTCAGTGAGGTGTCAGACTTTTTCCCAGGCAGAGCACCTCTGGAATGTAGTAATATAGGTTATCTTCAGGGAGGTTCAGGTTTATTTTCATTCACAATGGAGTAAAGGATAAGGATGTTAAATTTAGATCAATCAACTAATCGAACAGGCGATGTAATTTGCCTTGACTATTCTATTAGTCAATAAGGGTGCCTCCACCTTTGAAATGTAGCAAGAGCCCGGCTGTCTCTTGCTACATTTCAAAGGTGCAAACACCCCCCAGTGCAGGGCTTCTGCCTTTGAAATTTAGAGGGCTCTTGTACATTTCAAAAGCAAAGTGCCAGAGCGCGGGGGAATTTGAGTCCCCTGCTCGCCCCAGGCTCCCCGCAGTGTTTCTGCTTTTGAAATGCAGCAAGAGCCCTCTACATTTCAAAGGCAGAAGGGGCCACCAGTTCCCCACTGCGCCTCTGCCTCTTCTCCCCATGGAGACGGTGCTGGGAGGGAACCAGCTTTTAAGCTAGCTCCCCCCTCCCAGCACTGGATCCTGCTCCTCCCACTAGCTGCCTCTCTTTGATACAGGCAGCAAGGGGGCAGGAGAGGAGGGCAAGCAAGAGAAAAGCAGCTAGTCAAGTCACTAGTCAACTATCTGATAAGTATTTGCTTATCAGTTAGTCAACTAGTTGCTTACATTTCTAGTACAGGGTTCACAATTTGACAAATATACTACATTTTGTCACAGCAGTAACCCTGATTCTGTATCACTGCTCATTTTAAAACTGACTGAAATCTGGAAATGTCCCACAAGGTGTTTAAAATTATTAAAGCAGCGAGGAGTCCTGTGGCACCTTATAGACTAACTGAAGTGTAGGAGCATAAGCTTTCGTGGGCAAAGCCCACTTCTGCATCTGACGAAGTGGAAGTGGGTCTTTGCCCACGAAAGCTTATGCTCCTACACTTCAGTTAGTCTATAAGGTGCCACAGGACTCCTTGCCGCTTTTGCAGATTCAGACTAACACGGCTACCCCTCTGATACTAAAATTACTAAGTGTTCTTAGTAAACAATTACATTTCTACCCTAAGTGTTTGGAAACATTAACAACTGTTTTCTGATCAGTAGACCAGGGAAGGGAAACTACTACTCTCAGCAGGTAAACATTTACCTTTTTTTGCGCTCTCTGCTCCTATCCCTAGAACTATGCCTGCTTCTCTGGTGGCTGCAGCTCCTGCTGCGGCTGCTGGAGCGAGACCTGTGATGGTGGCGTTTCTCACGGGATTTGGAACGAGTTCTTCTCTTTCGTTCCCGGGAGGCAGAGCGAGACCGATGTCTGCGGCGATCTCGGGACCTCGATCTGGAAATAAAAAGAAAGAATTTACAGTGAAAGAGGCAATCACCTAGCTGCTCTACCAATATAGATCTATTTAATGCTTTATAAAATAGTAGTGAGTCTGTACAGAGATCTGTCTCCCATTATCACAGCTATTATAATTCTCAGAGGGACAGTATTTAAAAACCACAATGTTGATGGTATCAAAGATGCAGTGACAAATGTGCTTCTGGGAAGTGCTTTATTTTGCAGCTCTGTCTAAGACGATTTCTATTTAATTCCTGATAGATACATAGTACAGGAGTGGAGCTCCCCGGGAGCCGGTACACACGGAAAGCACACTGATGTTTCAAAACAAGAGCAATATTCTTATTTACGGCCACTAAAATAAGACTATTTGCAGACTTTCAAACCCCTGAAGGTTTATAATTACAATTTTTTTTCTATTGAAAGCATAACATTGCAAATTAGTGGCTTCCAACTAAAGCTTCACAGACAAAATTCACTGCCTGAAAGCTCTGGATAGGTCACCTGTGCATACTGAACCTCGGATCTCTGGATCTAAAAGCACAAATCTCTATTGCTTAAGCTAAAGGACCCAGGCATTAACTTGCAAGCAGACAAATCCAAATTTTGACATTTTCTTACTACTACTAGAGGACAAAAACCCACATTGTGTTAGCCATGGGCAAACACTTGAGCAAACAGTCCACTTCTACAGAGTGCGCAAAATAAATTGGTTCACAATGGCCAACATCTATGATGCTTTGGTGCTGAACATGGACACTGCAGTCTAGTAAGACTTGATAATTCAATATATTATGGGGTTGCACCCTCAGCTCGATATGCTTACCCACTCCCTATCTGTCTGTTGCAGCCGGATTGTGGCTCCCCCCCCTCCCCC